CTATAGTCAACCACCTGCGTAGCACAGAAGAACAGAAGAACGGCCATTCTGGTTGAGGCCAATGGTTAATCTAGACCAATACCCAATCTTCCAACAGTGGCCAATGGCAGATGCTTCAGAGGGAATGAACAGAACAGGGGAATCATTGAGTGATCCATCCCCTGTTATCCACTCCCTCCTTCTGGCAAACAGAAGTTTACTAACACCTAGACCATGGGGTTACATCCCAAACTGTATTGCCTAACAGCCATTGATGGGCTTATCTTCCATGAATTTATCTAATTCTTTTATGAATCTCATTATAGTCTTGGCCTTCATAACATTCCCTTTCAATGAGTTCCACAGTTTGACTCTGTGTTGTGTGAAGAAGTACTTCCTTTTATTTGTTTAAAACATGCTGCTTTTTAATTTCATTGGGTGACCAATGTTATGTTATGTGAAGGAGTAAAAAATATTTCTTTATTCTCTTCTCCACACCTTTCATGATTTTACAGACCTCTATTACATCCCCTTTTAATCATATCTTTTCCAAACAGAAAAGTGCCAATTGTTTTAATTTCTCCTCATATGCAAGCTGTTCCATACTCTTAGTCATTTTTGTTGCCCTTCTCTGTACCTTTTCCAATTCTAAGATATCTTTTTTGAGATGGGGTGACCTCATGTGCACCCAGTATTCAAGATGTGTGCATACAATGGATTTATATAAAGGCAATATGATAATTTCTGTCTTATTATCTATCCCTTTCTTAATGATTCCCAGCATTCCTTTAGCTTTTTTGACTGCAGCTGCACATAGAGAAGATGTTTTCAGAGACCTATTCACAATGACTCTAAGATCTTTCTGGAGTGGCAACAGCTATTTTTAGACCCTATCATTTTATAGTTGGGGGGTCTAAATATACCTGTTGCATTACAGTTGGGATTATGTTTTCCAATGTTTTTAGTATTATTTTATTTTTAAATTATTTTATTATATCAATTATATTTTATTATATCATTATTTTAAATATATCAATATTGAATTTCATCTGCCATCATGTTGCCCAGTTACCCGGTTTTGTGAGACCCCTTTGTCACTCTTCATAGTCTGTTTTGGATTTAACTATCTTGAGTAGTTTTGTATTGTTTGCAAATTTTCCCACCTCACTGTTAGCCCCCATCCCCTTTTTGAGAGAATCGGTAGGCCACATTTCACTTCCTGAATGTTAACAGACTTGGGCTGCAGTTTCAGAAGACTATTCCACTGTCAATGAGCCACCACTACTTTGATCTGGGTGCCTCAGCAGATTCCAGTTGTCCTGGTGTCTAAATTAAGATATCAGAGGAAAGAAACTGTACCTTGTTGTTTTCTGGTGAGGCCTCACTTCTTGAGATGTTACTGTTAAGTGGCCAGGAGATTGCTCTGACTGGTGATGAATAAATGTTAATATTTACTAAGCAATATAGCATAGCATTGGGCCAAACAAAACTTGCAAGTCGAACTGGCCAAAAAGTGGGATTTCTGGTTTGTGGGAATGTTGCAAACTCTAAAAAGAATTTGTTTCAGAAATACCGACTGTGACAGATTGTACTCTTATTTTCACCCTTTTTACAAAAGTAAATTTTCTACAAAGTATGTCTTGTGAGGTATCATTTGAAAACTCGTAACCTGCTGAACATTATTGTACTACAAAAATATGTATGGTAACGTTATATGTAAAATTATAAGCAGGGCCGGATCCAGGGGTTTTGCCACCCCAAGCAGCCAAAAAAAAAGCGCCACGATCACGATCTGCGGCAGTTCTGCCACGACTCTACCGACGCCGCTTTGGAATGAAGTGTTTGGGAATCTCCAACTGAGATAATATTGCTTGTGTTTATCATTTTCAATTAATGAAATACTGGACTTTTTATAAACCAGCATAGTCCAGGCAGGTTCTGGGCAGTACAAGACACACATTTCTGGGAACAAGTCTGGGACTAGGAGTTTTCTGGTGTCATCTTGTAAGGTAATTCATGAATGACTCACCAGAGCATTCATATAATTCAGATTTTACATGTTAGAGGTTTTGTGTGAACTGGCCAGCAGTGGTTATTCTCACAGCAACAGTGGTTGTTTGCCCCCACCCTGAGGCCCCGTTGCCCGCCACTTGCACCCCTTTACCTCCTTCCCCAATGCCCCCCTACTGCTCCCACCTCTTCACGTCCTCCCCCAAGGGCCTCCCACCTGCCACTTGTGCCTTTTCGACCCTCCCCAAGCACCCCCACCCTGCTGCTCACATCTCTTCACCCTCTCCAATGTGAGCCCCTGCCCGCTGTTCATGCCTCTTCACCCTGAGTGGCCTTTGGGAGAGGAGGTTCTCAGGGGCAAGAGGCAGAGCAGAGGTGGGAAAAGGAGCAGTGCATGTGGGCCATGGTGGAAAAGGACAAGCAGGAGTGGGGTCTAGGGGCAGAACTCAGGCAGGTCTATGGCCCAGATGCCCTTTCGGCAGTAGCGCTCCAAATGCGGCAGGTCAGCGCTCCAAATGCGGCAGCATCCAAAGGGCCCTGGCCTTTTATACCCACCACCCATGTGAAGGTGCTCCTCTGCAGTGACATCGGTCTAATTGAGATGGTAATCTGATCCTTACAGAAATCATAGACATTTAGGACTGGAAAGGACCTCAACAGGTCATCTATCAAAGACCTCTGCACTAAGGTTGGACTACATATTATTTAGATAATCCCTGATAGGTGTTCATCTAACCTGTTATTAAAAAGTGACCAGTATTGAAGTAGGTTCTCTCAGGATACTTGGGTGGCCTGTTCCATGCTGCTATCTACTTTTCTGTTGGCGTGTCCATGTTTTGTGAAGCTGGCATTAAGTGTGTTAAGGTGTGTATCCCAGACTTTCTCCTAGGAGAAACAACGTGACATCTGAGTACCTAGCTGTAAATAACAGACTTCTTGGTATGCTGGAGTGCTTAGTGGATCTGTGAAGTTAAATGCGTTGAGTTGTCTGTAGAATCCCATTGCTGATGGTGGTGTTCAGGAAGTTGATGCTGGTATGGGAGTATACTAGAGAAAGCTTGATGGGTAGGTGGTGGTTGCTGAAATTGTGGTGAAAATCTATGAAGAAATTTATATTGTCTGTCCAGAGGATGAAAATACCATCAATGTATCTCTGGTATATTGTTGGTTTCAGTACGAAATATTTGCAGAAATTCTTTAGTGAATAATGCTGAATAATAAATAGTTTGAAGGAAATAATGATCTGATCTTTTACAGTCAAGAACAGAAAAAGAAGCACAATAATTTGAAGGATTATCTATCTATCTATCTATCTATCTATCTAATCATATGATGCTTCCCTGAATGGCTGTGTAAAAAACTATGCATAAACATGGTAATCAATAAATTGAATTAATAAATAATAATATTAATAAATAATTAATATCAAATAATTAATAATAGCCAAATTCTGTGGTCCAGGGCACGTTTAGTAACCTTTGGATAGTTGTATGGATAAAAAAACATTGGCTAAATCTGGATCCCTTTGAAGTGAAAAGTGAAATTGCACTTTGTCGTAGTTACAGGGCTAGCTGCACCTCTGACCCCTTCTATGGTTTCTTTGAGTGCACCCATCAGGTCACAGCCTCGTGCCTGTCCCTCTCTTAGCGGGATCGATGTTATTCACCAACTCTTAAACTGGATCCTGGGGTATAGTAACTTGTGCACCAACTGTGATTTCCCAGCAGGGTCAATTGGATTCATTACCTGCTGTTATTCCCCCTGGAGCTGTTACCAATACTAAATTGAGTGACCAGACAGCTTTCTATACACAAAGTATAATAATTTATTTACCACAGCAGGAACAAAGCATAACATAAGAGAAAATATTACACAGTAACTCCTCCCCTGACACAATAAAAACTGAAATGGGGTCCATATTTGTCCTCATTATACAGAGTCAGGTCTGACTGTCTTTAGGGATGTCACCGTTCCTCAGCAGGTCACAGCTGACAAAGCCAAATTCAGGACAAACTGCTGAGACATAGGGCAGACTCCCGCAAACTGGTTGCTATTCTACCGTTAGATTATACCAAGCCAGTAACAAACGTGAACTTCTGTCTCACCACACTGGTTAACAAGAAGCCAGACATGCAGTCTTCTTAGTTATCCCAGCCCATGGCTCATCACCCAGACACTGAAGTAAAGGATGAGTGGTTACTGAAAACCAATTTAATCAGATATAGGGTCCTTCCAGTCCCAAGGGATCAGCCACTTAGCCAGGTAAATATATAACTTAGACCTTAGCCAATAATCACGCTGATACCAATCCTTTAGTAACTAAAATCTAAATGTTTATTAATAAAAGACAAAAAAGAGAATTATTAATGGTTAATAGATCATATACATTCAAGTGGTCTTTCAGTGTTCAAAGATCAGGATGATAGCAGAGATTGAATAAATTATTAGATTGCAAATGTCTCTCTGGAATCACCCAAACATATTAGGGGGTCATCAGTCCTTGTTCCAAGCTTGCTTGGTAAAAATCCAGTGCATAGAAATGAAGCAGAAAATGAAGACAAAATGGAGATGCCTCAGGGGTCTTTTATATCCTCTGTCATGCGCAAGAAATGTTACTATCTCAAAGAAAGTTCACAGCCTCTGTTTGTAGAAAGTTACTGTTTCAACATGGAGTCCAGGGTCACATAAGCATATCACATGTCCTTACATGCTTTGATGACTCACAGGTGCATCCATTGCCCATATTCTTGCTGAGGTGTCCACAGGAAGGCTTACTTGGCGGGATGAATTTCTTCTACTGGCCATTGTGAGAGCTAAAAAGCAACAGAGGGTCCTGTGGCACCTTTGAGACTAACTGAAGTATTGGGAGCATAAGCTTTCGTGGGTAAGAACCTCACTTCTTCAGATGCAAGACTTCAGACTAACACGGCTACTCAGACTAACACGGCTACCCCTCTGATACTGTGAGAGCTAAGTGTCCTTGATGGGTCATCAACAGAATAATATAACAGTCAAGGGAGAACTATGGACTTTATATTCATGGTGAATAATCTCCCTGCTATCAGTCTCCTCAGGGCAGCTTGGATATCCTCGGTCCTCATGTTGTAGATGATGGGATTCATCATTGGAGGCACCACAGAATAGAGAACTGCCACCATGAGATCCCACCTTGATGTTGAGCTTGAGGTGGGCTTCAGGTAGGCAACAGTAAGAGTCCAGAGGAACAAGGAAACCACAAAGAGGTGAGGAAGGCAGGTGGAGAAGGCTTTATGCCGGCCCTGTTCAGAGGGGATTCTCAGCACCGTGGTGAAGATCTGAACATACGACACAATTATAAAAACAAAGCAGCTTAAAGATAAACAAGCACTAAATACAATTGCCCCAGATTCTCTGCGGTATGTGTCAGAGCAGGTGAGCTTGAGTAGTTGAGGGATTTCACAGAAGAACTGATCCACCATGTTCCCTCCACAGAAGGTTAATGCAAATGTGGTCCCAGTGTGTAATGCAGAGTTGAGAATACTACAGAGCCATGCACTGGCTGCCATTCGGACACAAGCTCTTCTGTTCATTATAGCTTCATAATGAAGAGGTTGGCAGATGGCGACATATCGATCGTATGCCATGACAGTGAGGAAGCTGAGCTCAGCTACCGCGAACAAGGGAAAGAGAAAGACTTGGGTGACGCACCCAGAATAAGAAATTGACCTGGAGTTGGTTAGTGAATTGACCATGGATTTAGGAATGGGGACAGAGATGTAGCAGAGGTCTATGAAGGATAAGTTGAGCAGGAAGAAGTACATGGGGGTGTGAAGATGATGGTCAAGGGCTATGACTGTGATGATGAGAAGATTCCCCATCAAGGCTACCAGATAAAGAACTAGAAACAGTAGAAAGTGTAACAGCTGCAGCTCCCGAACACCAGAGAATCCCAAGAGCAGAAAATCGAATGTTGAAGTTTGGTTGCTCATTTTCCTTCTCAGTATACTGTGTTCTGCTGTAGAGGGAAGGGCAAGGACAAAGGTCAGAATTAGAGTAACAGATCGAATGAGTCTGATTCTCATCTTAATAATATTTCAGGGATGTCAAAGGAGCACAGCACTCTTCACTTCCATTAACTAGAAGTCATGAGGGCTCCTCACCTCTGACAATCAGAGCACTTCTCCAGTGTGTGATCACACAGGTGTAAGGTGACCAGACAGCAAATGTGAAAAATTGGGACAGGGGTAGGGGGTAATAGCAGCCTATATAAGAAAAAGGCCCTAAACTCTGGACATCTGGTCACCCTACACTGGTGTAAATTAGATTAGCTCTTTTAAAGTCAATGGGACTGCATCTGTTTAGATCATGGGAGATGTGCTCGAATCACAGCTATTATTGCCTTCTGATTTCCCAACGCGGCTCTGAGAGCACAACTTATCTCTTACAACCCAAGATCTGCCTGGGACTGATCCTGAGAATTCTTCAGAGACACTTGAACAGTTCCTACACTTTTTATTGTCTGCTGGCTTAATTTAGACACTTCCTGCTCCAGCCTCTTTCCTACTCTTTCACTATTACACACTTGCTTTTCCATTGCCATGATCTGAGCCTGGCGGGTGTCTGATTAGGGAAATTGTTTTTTTTTTATTTTATTTAGGGTTTTTTTTACCCTATTCTTTTTTAGTTCCTTTATTTCTTATTTATTTATTTCCTTCTGACATAATCCCTCGACCAGGCCGCCAGCCTGGTGCCCTGAGTCCCAGGAACTCAATATATCCATAAATTGACTCCCAAACCACAATATGGAGAAATTCCAAGCTGCTATGCTGGCCCGCATGCTTTTCTCTTGCACAGCATAGCAAACCATTTGTACCAATCTTCCCCTTCCTCTCCACCACTCCTGGTGACTGTCTCACCAAATCTGTTCCCAAGGGTATTCAGAACCCAAAGCAGTAGTCACTTAACTGGGTTCTTTAGGTGGTTTCAGGAATAAATTAATGGGGGGTGTGGCACAGCTCATTTGTCTAACAAATAATTGGCATAAGTAAAAGTGATTTTACCTAAAAGTACTTTTCTATTACATGTTAAGCACACACATACACACATATGCTGTTGTGGTAGGTTTAGAGCATTTTAAAACATTTATATTTACTTAAAGTTAAGCAATGATTTTGTGGGATCAGCAGCGAGACTTCCGGGGGGAGGGAGAACGCCTTCTCTCTAGCTGCTGAAAAACTTAACTGTTAGATCCTTGTCCCGCCCTAAAGCTTCCTGGTACTGCTCCAAAGCACACTTTCTAACTTAACTTTTTCTATTTTATTTTAAACAAAGCGCCAAACTTATAATAGCCTCTAGCAATTTTCCTAGCCACAGCCAATAACCATTTATTATTTTTATTAGTAAAGCATTTTTAATTATAACAATAAAACTGACAAATCAAAAGCACCTACAACCAAAGTTATCCAAACATTCCTTCTATTTTTATAAAACCTAATTCCCCTACCCCAACCTCCCATTTAAATAGCAAAACAGAGAACATACAACTATTTAGCCTTTCCTGTAAGGGCCTAAAATTATTCTAGCTATATAATATGTAGTTTTTCACTAGCAATAACTAAACAAACAAAATAATGAACTACAGTACTGTCAAATTCTGGGGTAACAACTTGATAAAATTCAGTATGAAGGATGTAATAAAGTACAAGCCAAGATAAACTGTCCTAGCAGAGAGGGTCCCCCTATTGCAACAAACAGCAGACTTCAAACTTGGGTATGAAACTAAAATGCCAACATTGCCCACTTTCCAGGGAAATACAACCGTGAATCACACATTGTCCTAAATGGCACTTCAACTGTGATGATTCCTCCTCAATCTCTGTATAAAAAATGGCCTGATTCCTGGTTACATATTGATTTATGGCATCAAATCCTAGCTGCACTTCCATCTCTGTGCAATGACAGTCTCGGAGGATTGCTCAGTTACTGATGGGTTCTGCTCTAGGATCTGACACGGACCTTCTGTGTGATCTTAGGCCAGTCACTTCCCCTCCCTATGCCTTTGTTTACCCTCCCTCCCTTTCTCTGCTGTGTCTACTAGGACTGTAACTTATTAGGCATATGTTCTTTGCACCTATTGACAGCATTTTTGTTTAACTGGCAGCAGTGTGGGACGGTGTTCAAGCAGGAGGTCTGGGATCTAGTCCCATTGAACTCCCCTATGTTCTTGGGCAAGGTCATAATAGACAGGCTTTGGCTGGGGCTTCAACTCTCTGTGCATCAATTTAAAGGTGCTGGTATGTTTAAAACATTCTGTGGGTTACCAGCTTTATTGCTTACTCAATTTTATCATCCTGCAACTATCCCTTTGAAACAGAAATAAACATGGTTGCAGTAGAGTCATGGGGTTCAAAATTGTGGCATAATTGGACAATATTATTGTTCCCCATGATAGTTTCCAGCTAGCGGTGCTCAGATATTTTTGGCTTGAAGTATTTCTAAGGCAAACTGGGTTTTTTGGTATATTATTTTCTTTGAAAAACTGAAAACATTTCTATTGTTATTTCATCTGAAAACATTCCATTTTCAGCATTTTTTAGCTGAAATTGTTTAATTCTCACATGCCAGAAACCAAACACATTTTAGTTTTCACAATTTCTATGAAAAGTCATTTTTTTCTGCTGAAAAGAAAATAAGACTTGACTGGCTCTAGATGTTTCACTGAATTGATCATAAAAGTCTTAAAGAGTTCCAACTATAATTCACGTTTATATTATTCAATTTACTCTTATATTAATACCCTGAAATATTTAATTGAAATATCAAACTTACTGGGGTGGTCTTTGCAGAAATTTCCCCATGCATTTGGTGTTCCACAGTCAGGATTCTTTGGTTCTTAGTACTCTCTCTTTCCCAGGCCCTCATGACTGTATTATCCAGCAACTGTTTCCATTTTCCATTCCTGGATTTCCTGCATTGCTGGGTCTCTCGGCAGCTCCAAGCAGACAGGGATCCACTCCACAGATGGGCGCTCCCTGCTCCACTCCTGCGGCAGGCTTGGCTGAGGGGAGATGAACTAAATAGGGTCATGGGTTGGAAGTCCCTCCCAGTTCTAGAGCTGATCCTGTGCAGATTTCAGACATTGGCACAGACAGGGATGTCCCTGCTCTGGGGTTAAATAACTAAGTCTGGTCTCCAGGGCTGTGAGCCCAACTCTGATCTCATCAGAGGAATCCACAGCTCAGGATGCCGTGGCTGTTTGATGAGGTACCCAGATTGAGACACTAAAAACTAAGGGCCAGCTCCTGAGCTGTTGTAAATTGATACAGTTCCATTGATTTCAGAATAGCTAGGGATCTTTTCGCCAACTGGGCTACCGGCCCTTTGATTTCAATGAAGCTCTGGATGATTTTCACCAGCTGAGAATCTGGTCCATTGCACATTTTAAATCTATATTCTTTGTGTGTGAATGGAAAACAAGGATGAAAGGGAAGTTCAAACCTCTCTACACGTTCTTAGTTTTTAATTACAAGAGTGGAACTTTTCATGGTTAAGGAGCAATTCTTTCCCTCTACGGACTGAAGATTGGAGTTCAGTGTTCAGATCATCAGCTTCTATTAGGATGAATGGCCTGACATTTTTCTTTCTTTCTTTCTTTCTTTCTTTCTTTCTTTCTTTCTTTCTTTCTTTCTTTCTTTCTTTCTTTCTTTCTTTCTTTCTTTCTTTCTTACTTATA